TATTGCTGACACTCGTGTCTGGAATGTGACTTCTAACAGGACTGAAGATGTCTGCATTGGGGTTTAGCTGCGGGGTCTGGAAGGGACTTTCTGTTGTCTGGGGCTGATTAGGTCCATGGTTAATATATCCTCCCTGTGTAAAGGTTGGCAACTTCATATAGAGGAATGTTTACTTATCTCACTCTCAGGCCATGTGTTCAACCACAACAGATAATATTGTACTTTTGAGGCACTCTGGCAACTCCAAGCAAAAGAATGTTTACTTATCACACTCTCAGGCCATGTGTTCAACCACAACAGATAATATTGTAGTCTTCAGACAGGTTGGCAACTTCATGTAGAGAAATGTCTATTTATCACACTCTCAGGCCACGTGCTCAACCACAACAGATAATATTGTACTTTTGAGGCACGCTGGCAACTCCAAGCAAAAGAACGTCTACTTATCACACTCTCAGGCCATGTGTTCAACCGCAACAGGTAATATTATAAAGAATTATAATCATTAAAAGTAATTAGATTTAACATGTTGAATCGCATCATTTGTGAGTATAAATATTTTCAAAAGGCATGGAAAAAGAAAGGGTAGAAAACATTACCGCATACTTACTTTCTTCAAGTTCATTCATTTGGAAGCTAACCCTTAATGCGTGAAGTAATAGGTCATAAATATTATATTGAGGACACCTTTATTCATGCATTCAAATAACCGCAAAGTTCCTTATTGTTTTGCAAATAAATTTATATCTAAATGACAATTCATTTTAATACAACAAGAATAAATGATTCGGTATATCATTGTCCCATTCTTAATTATAAGAAAAAAACAGATAGATACATTTTTCAATAACTTATACGCTTTTCCCTGTTAATTATTATAACCAAATAAATTTTTTCGTGTCAGTTACTTTTTGAATGCATGTGCTACGTTTTAATGGAAACTATATGGGCACTCAGCAGAGCGCATACCTCCTCCACACAGCGTTGATCATATCCGGCTCTCAAAAAATACGAAAATGTGTTCGTATGTTCGTCGTTATCAACGAACACGAACCATTTTCGGCAGGACAATGAGGAATAATATTCTACATATGTATACCAAGTTTAGTCAAAATCTAATCAATTTTGACTGAGTTATAGAGCAAAAATAATGTGAAAAAGCGGTTCCCATGTTAACAGATAGGGCTTTTTTGGATTTTGGTGACCTTGCTATGACTTTAACTCTCCAAAAGCTAACCATTTCTAAGTTGGAGCATAGTCCAAATGTATACCAACTTTCGTCAAAATCCATTCAGCTGTTTTTGAGAAATTTTGCTGGCAAACATACGTACACAGGGGGCAAAACTTAACCTTCGTCTACCTTCGGTGTCAGGGGTAATTCACTGAATTCTTACGTAACGAATTTGATCAGTTCTTCCATCGAGAGGAATTCTCTGCTGTTGTTTTTTTACAATCACAAACTGTAACAATTAATCTACAACAAAATGTTTCGAGATGTTATTGAATATTCATCAGAGAAGAACTTGTAAGTAGCCCAGCGTATCATCAAGTTAGTAATTGATAAATGTTTATAGTCTAAGTTTTATTAAATGTAAGTTATTACTACCCCCCGGAATATTTACCTAACTCTAGAAGTATTTATAAGATGTTGCACTCCGACTAACTAGCACTTTAACCAACTTGTATTTAGAACTTATTATCGAAGTGATTAGGAGTGATATAAACGATAACAATGTTATCAGTTCACACCATTGTCACGTGAGTTATTACGCACAACTTGTTTTACTATGCGAGTACGTCGGACTGTTGGTTCGGACAACGCATGCGTACTGTAGTTCTTTTCCCATCACCTTACATATCTAAAGACACGTGGCCTGAAAGAGTTGTCGATTGTCTGTCGCACTAATAAGTAATACGCTCGTAGATTATTATTGTGGTTTTGTGTCTAACATAAGCGGGGTAGGAAGCAAACTAAGAAACATCTTAGTTTTCATAACTTTTATAATATGCTTTTGTAATATCGAGTAGGGAAGTAATGGCTGGTAGTGATAGCGAGAATGAGGTGAGTAATTTGATTAGAAACCTCGTTATATCCGTATGTGAAAATACATACAATATACCGTTGCTTGTATTACTCTTTCGTTAACCATTGTATTTTGTTTAGGTATGACAAACTACAATTCTTTTTTTATTCATTAAAACTTTATTATAATGTTAATAGAAAAGTAAATAAATATCCTAGTTTTATATTTATAACGTGACGTACAAGAAAAACAACAACTGAAGAAGTGCACAGTTAGGCTTATGCGCCATTGTGAGGAAGCGAGCTCTAGTTTGACGTTGAACTGCAAGTCTCAATAGAAATTTGGATGATGCGTGAAATGTTAACAAAATAAATTAAAAAAAGGTCTTTAAAATATACAGTTATTCCGGTGTAACTCGTGTCTTTTAAAACACAACGACATACAGATAAAAATGTATGCAAAGGAAAGGGATAAAACATCCTGCATGAAACAAAACAATACACTAGACAAGAACGATTTAGTTTAACATACTTATTTGAAACTAATAATGATTTATTGAGACTGGAGTTGTATAATCTTAGTGAAATGTATTTTAATTACCTTCTCAGAGTTATTTCTTTAAAGATAAATGAACGCGCTGTGTTACGGACAGTGTACATCTTTTTAATAAAAATAGACCACAGCCAAACAAATAATAAGAATAAATCCTCAACATATTTTTCATATCTTCTTAACTGTATTTATCGAATTTTTACTGTAATTTCTCTATCATTAGCCTTCAGTGGGTCAGCGGTAAGTCTCGAGAATTACAACTTACAAGCTTAAATCCAGGGCTCGATTTCCCGCAGTGGACATAGGGCGGATAGCTCGTAATGTGGCATAGTGCCAAAATCCCAACCAACCAAACCAGTCTATTATTTACATGTAATTAGTAGGTATAAAGTAGTGTCATATGCAGTACCTAACGTATCCAATACTTTGTTGACATATCCAATGACTAATGAGTGATTTCAAGCTCAAGGGGTTGTGGTGAGTGGCATCGGTTTTGTTTGTTTTCCGATGCAAACTTAAGAATGTTCGGCAAAAATATCAGATATTAGGTTTGATTTGATTTAAAACATATATATATTAAACAAACTAATCAGTGCTTAATTAAAAAATATAAATTGTAAATTAAAATTCGTAGGTTACACTACTGAGAAGCCATTACAAAGTTTCAAATTATTTCACCCACTCTGTTTATGTATAATTTCCTCCAAGAAAATGCAAACATGATTAAAAAATAAAACGCATGCAGAATAAGTACAATAAGTACAGCACCTTCTTTCATGCCTCGCATTGTTTATTTTTATGAATCGAACGTGATAGATTAACGATTTTTGAACACATTTAGCCACCTTCCCCTATAACATTTTTTGAAATACTCTATTGTAATAATTCCTTACGGATATTCGGATCATCAGTGCCTTACTGTACTCTCACTGAGTGGAATGAGTGCTGCGAAAGTTTTAACAGTTCAACCCCATGTAATCCAGGATCCATTCTTAAGTTTTTAAGTTTTTCATGAACAGTGTTCTCCAGAACTCTGCTGGGACCGGATAATGATTTATTCTGTAGCACCTAAGTGAACAGAGCTTGACACGTTTTGTAAAAAATAATATCCTAATTTCAAGTCCAAAATTAGTGAATAATTACATCGTGTATAACCTATACAATATATACTTAAAACTATTTAGAACCCAGTTGCTTTCCAGTAAGAGGTAAGAACCATGATACTTAACAATCACTTCCTGGTGTTTCTAAGTGTAGAATTTATTTATTTTTTTGTAGTCACCTACATATATATTATACACACTTGTGAACTGGATTATGGATAAGGATTTTTAGCGATAAATGTTTTTCATATTTGTATCGCAAGAATTTATAATAACAGTTAATTTATTACGAAGGTCGTGTTTTCATAGCTGTTGTCCTGGATAAGTAAGCTTGTTTACGTTGTACGTGAAATGTAGTGGTAACTAAACTATGCATGTTTCTAGGTCACTGGGTAGTGGTTCAAACACCTTATATCTGATACTGTTAAGTTATTGTCCGTAGAAGTATGCTTGCCTTATTATACGTGTACTTAAAGTTTGCAGCTATTGGTTTACGGGCAAGCTTCAAAAGGAAATCGCTCGAATTTCATATAGTTTAACCTTACACAAACACGAAATATAAATCATTTTGTTGTACCAAATCATATTTGCACATCACATACACGTTTAGTTTCATTTTGATGTTTTCGTAGGTATTGCAGGATTGGAAATTCTTATGAACCGCTTGTGCCCTAAATTTTGTAAAATATTACGTTTTGGGCTCAAATCCGAATTTTTCTTTAGTCCATTAGTTGTTTCATTCTTACATTATGGAAACAAGGTTGTATTTGTAACCATTTGATTTGAGATGTTGTAAACATTGTGACAATTGGCTTGAATTTGGTACTTCTGTCTTTTATTTTAGTTTGTTTATACAGTGTTTTACAAAACTGATGTCAGTGGTGAATTTTTATTTATGTTATGTTCAAGCATAAAGGTTACTTCAAAGGTGGGTTAAAATGTGTGTGTATATATAATATAATATATGCCATGAAATCCTAAATCAAATATTTATCGAGGTCAACAGATATATTAGCGTGGCTAAATTTTTCTGTTTTTATTTAAAAGAAGAAATCAACCGTGACATAATGTCCTTGTTTGAATTTCTACTAAGTTACCAGAGTCGGCCACCTTATTCTTACTGACACAATAAATATTGTAGGTTAACAAGTCACTTATATTCTATTCTTAATTTGCTTTAGCAAAATATACATAAAATAAAACTGTATTGAAAAAGTAAGAATATATTACGTTTTAATAATCTACTATAAATACAAGCCAGTTAACTTTTGGTAACGCTCTGTTGGTCTAATATCCCTTAGCATCAAAACCATGACCTGACATTGTTGTCTTAAGTATGTATCTAATACTTTGAACCTTCACGAGGGCTGGCTTAAATTCTACTTTTTTTTTAGATCGTTTTAATTTATGCATATACTTAGCCTGACGTAGACAATTTTAAGTACTTGGTGAGTTTTAAAAACATCTAAGTTAGAGGTTAACTGTCATAATTCGTATGTTTTATTAGGTTTTTGTGAAGTTTTTCAATGTTATTTTTACTGTTTTTTTTATAAAGCCTTTTTTCTTTCTTTCTTCTGAACGCACTGTCATTAGTCTTAGCTGATGATAGCACTTAATTAATCTTTAGGTTTAAACTTTGAGATATAATTTCTATCATAAACCTTAGGCCTAGTGGTTTTTGGTGCTTCGTACTCTCGCCGTTTAAACCGTAATTTTTAGGTTATATGACGTAATTAGAAAAATACGTGTGAAATATCGATGGATTTGTGATATAGACATAATATGGAGAATGATCTGAAAAGTAAAAAATAGTTTGATATGATTATAATAAATTTGTATGAAAGTCATTAACTTTGGCGTGATTATTCTCTTTTTCCACTGATTAAAATCTAACACACACACACACGTGTATATGTATATTGTTACGTCTCTGGTCGTTTGTTAATTTCCAGTATATTTTCTTCCGGATGAAACTTTAGCGACACAAGTCCTTTCTTAAATAAAACTAGTTTATTCTTCCTCAATACAACTTTGCAATACACAGAATTTCTACAGTCACTTTCACTTAAACACACGCTATAATTAACAATGATTTACACACTTTACTTTTGGCTTGACTTGATTATCTGTCTCTATCTCCCTGTCTGCTATTAAATTCTTGCCGTCACTTCATTTTCCGGCTTGTATACTATAAAAGCGCAAGTCTAGCAAACGCTCGAGCCTTCAGGATGGTTCGAGATACTCATTACGTGTTACCAGCGTCACGTGACTTCCGCTGTGGTAACACTGCCCCTTCCTTAGTATAATAGATAATTGATAATAACTTAATTAAATGTACAGAATTTACAAACACAAAATTAAAACTCAACAAAGTCTCTTAATTTTGCGAGACGTATCTTCTTCCGTACTGGTCTCGTTGGCTTCTGCTTCATATAACGTTCATCTGCTCCATCAGGAAATGTTCTATTATCGGTAATAGCCACATCAGTGGTAGTAACTTCATGAAGGGCTTCACTGTTTCCCTTCTCAAAACCGAGAAGAGTTTCTTTTTCGACAGTGCCCTTTCAAGGTGACACGTCTTCAGCGGCGTCTTTTGTTCTATTGTTCACTTCGTCCCAACTGAAATGTCCAGGACCATGATAATGCCAAAATCTGTTGGCATGCACCACCTTTGGCTTACCTCGCCGACCACATTTTATTCGGAAAGTCACGTCTGAGAGACGATCCACTATGTCATATGGGCCTTCCCATGGATAAGACAACTTAGGAGACTTCCCTTTGGTCTTCCTGGGATTATACAACTACACCTTGTTTCCTGGTACAAAGCTGACTTCAGTATACTTCTTATCATAATATAGCTTCATCGAATCAGCAGACGTTTTCAAGTTTGAATGCACTTGATGGTGAATATCACCCATCCTTTCAGATAAGTCTTTCATGAACTCTGACACATTTTCAGGCAACTCTTCGTAAGGTGGGCGTCCTGTTATCAGATCCACTGGCAACGAAAGTTCCCGACCAAACGTCAGCTTTGCTGGAGTGTATCCAGTGGCTTCATGCTCTACTGTTCTATAGGCCATCAACAGTAAAGGGAGTAAGACATCCCAGTCATCTTGGTGGGTATTACAAAACTTTGCCAATTCCTGTCCCAGTGTCCAGTTGTACTTTTCTACCATCCCATCAGACTGGGGGTGAAGTGGCGTTGTTCTGGTCTTTCGTATGCCAAACAACTTGCAGCATTCGTGGAACACAACTAATTCAATATTACAGCCTTGATCTGAATGTAGTTCGTATGGCATACGCAATCTGAAGAAGAAATCACTAATAGCCGAAGCTACAGTCGTAGCTTCCTGATTTGGTATTGCATATGCCTCAGGCCACTT